TAAATAAAGATTTTGTCATATATTACATATTTGTTTAATTTCTAAAACTATGATTTATATCAAAATTTTAATAGGGTCGCAGATAGTTACAACAATTTAGTCCATATTTATCCCTTAATATCATTTTGTAGTTAGATATGGAAATTCTCGACCCTTTACAAAAAATTTCAAGCCAATATCTCAATTACATTCAAAAATATGTTCATTTAAACCTGTGTCCTTTAATTTCATCTTTTTCATATTTTAGTATAAAGTATGACAGAACATATTTAAATCTTATATTTACCTATTTTCTATTTGTTTGCTTATCCTTATAATTGAAAGGTCCTATTATGCTTAAATTTTCAAAAATGTATAACTATTTTTTACCTAAATTTTTTCGACAGATCATTTCGTTCTGTTTCGTTTATGATCATATAGGTAAAAATATACAGGTAATGATAATTTCGATTCATTCACTAATAAGAAATATCAATGACTGAATTACAGGTTATAGTATATAGTCCTAAATGTTAATAGGTAGACAATTTGTAATTTTTTACTTTGAAATACCTGTATCGGAAATGACAAGAATTGGTATATAAGTAAACTTCTTAGATTTTAAGTACCATATTTAATAAATCTACAATGAAGATTACATTAAACGAAGAGTTGTGTTCCGTTTTATGGAGTGTATCTTCAAAAGGGCCAGAAAGAATTGAAGATATTTCAAATTATATAAAAACTACATATAGTAGACAAAACAGGCATATCAAAAATTGAAAACTTTTTGATGTAAAAAGTAAGTCTGTGGATGGAAATCAAAAGAAATTTCTATTAAAATTTTGTAGTTGGATGGAAACTACTACGGATATCTCAACTTTCAACACATCAACAGGAGCGCCTTGCAAGTCATACGAAGACTTATGTTCAAGGTCAAAAAAAAGAGGGTCACACAAAAACTTTTTTCAATCTCAAATGAGGAAATTGTTGATACTTTTAACGAAATGCTGAAAAAGGAAAACCAACCTATGGATGTCGTACATATTGCAACTATTCTTCCTAATGCATCACCAAAACGACTTAAGCGAATTGTGGAAAGTATACCAACTCCAACATCATAATCAAATTTTACTGAAGAGGAAGCAATAGCGCTTATGTTGGAACTGGGTCTCAGTCGAAATAAGTACCAAATATTAAGGAAAGCTCTGCATGAAAAAGGACACAATATATTAGCATCATAGAAGGCGATCTAGGAAAAAAAACAAACTATCCTACCATCACCTATTGCTTGTATTGATATATCATTTTTGCTCGAAAACACAGGATCAAGAATTTTTCCGACCAACTAAGGAAAATTCATAACTGTGATGTTGTCTTAATATGTAAGTGGGGATGTGACGGTTTATCAGCACTTCCAGAATACAAACAAGCTTGTGGAAGTCGGACATTAGCAGACTACAAAAGTGTATTTATGTCATCATTAGTGCCATTACGAATTCGTTCATATTCCCTTAATCCATCATCGTCAAGCATCGGAAATTCATTTGAAGATATATATATCAATACAACTCCGGGTTCAAAAAATTTTTGTAGACCCATTGGATTTGAACATATAAAGGAGTCAAAGAAAACAACAAAAGATTTAGTGGAATATTTAAAAGATGAAATAAGTGCACTGGAGCCCATTTGCATAAAAATAAAGGAATTCTCTATTAACGTATCATATCAGCTAAGTTAACAATGATTGATGGAAAGGTCAGCAATGCCATAACAGAAACTTCTTCCTTCTGGAGATGCTCAATATGTAATGAGAAAAAGTCGCAATTCTCAAATATAAACAAAAGCAGAAGTATTAATGAAGAAGACCTGTCTTTCGGAATTTCGATTTGGGGAATATACATCTGAAATTTCTAAATTACTTGTATCTCTGTATCCATGGAGGGAACTAACACCAACAGTACACAAAGTATTGTGTCATGGTCAAATAATAATTGAATCGAATATTCTTCCACTTGGAGAGTTAACAGAAGAAGCCCAGGAAGCGAGGAATCGAGATTTTAAGCATGTTCAACTATTCAGCTCAAGAAAATGCTCCAGGAAATCACAGAATGAAGATATTTTTAATAGTTTACTTCTATCTTCTGATCCTGTTCTTTCAACTATGCGAAAAAGATGGATTTGTTATGAAACTCTATCATCTCAAAACAAGGAAGATTTAAAGGACTTATATTACCTTCTGGATATGTATACCGATATTACAGATTATTTTATAGAAAATAAGTAGTGTTAGGAATTAACTATATAAGTAGGTTGTAAGAATTAATTGTATTATGTTTAAGATAAACATTTCAAATAAAAAAAGCTATTATGCTAACTGATGATATTGTATTAAATTGTGTTTTATATTTCGGTGGGCGGGAAAGGTGGTTTGTGTGGGGTGATTTAGGTGTTGTTGTGCGTGGCTCATAATAAAATTATAACTTTTTATTGTATATACAATGTTATAGTCTTTAATAAAATAATTAACTAAATAATTTTAAAAATTGTCCAAATATTTTATTCAACACCAAATGTATGTTCTGTCATACTTAATACTAAAATATGAAAAAGATGAAATTAAAGGACACAGGTTTAAATGAACATATTTTTGAATGTAATTGAGATATTGGCTTGAAATTTTTTGTAAAGGGTCGAGAATTTCCATATCTAACTACAAAATGATATTAAGGGATAAATATGGACTAAATTGTTGTAACTATCTGCGACCCTATTAAAATTTTGATATAAATCATAGTTTTAGAAATTAAACAAATATGTAATATATGACAAAATCTTTATTTATGAACAAAACTCAATGAAATTTTCAACGCTTGTTAAATTTGTCATTTAAAATAAGAAAATGCAAAAAAAAAATTGAAAAGGTCAAAGGGCATCCCGCAATTCCCAAAAATAGGAATGAAAATCCCAAAAATAGGATTTTTTACTTTTTTGCCCATAGGGTCCACATTTCTTTCAGGGCTGGGAAAATACTTTTGGAGTAAATAGAAAACATATTGAGGTTTCCAAAAGTGCTTTCAGTTTTCTGATCCCAGCTTTGGGAATTTAGAACATGTCGCCCAAAGTTGAAGTTTTGATAAAAAATAGGTCACATTCGGAAGGACGCAGTGGCAACATTTTCAAAAAATAGGACAAGTTTTTTATGCTTTGTTCTGCGGAAAGATACCTTTTAGAAAACTATAAAATTGTTATATGTTCTTAAAGAAAATTTTATTTTATTAATAAAAGAGTTAAGACACATTTTTGGCAAAAAAACGCCAAAAATCTAATATTTTTTGAATTTTTAAATTAAAAAACGTATATTTTTGGATCAGTAAATGATATTGATCTGAAATTTTTTGTATATTATTGTCTAACTAACAAGAAAAAATTGAGTCCATTTGGTCCAAAATTACGCCCGGTATTCAAAAAAAGGCGGACCAAGGTATGGTAAATTTTGTATCACTAAATTTTTAAATGCCTATAACTCGGATATTATAAGAGATAAGTAGTATGTCCAAGCATGTTTTTTCAAGATCTCGTCGAGCGCTTTCACAAAATATAAAAATCTTTGTATTTGGGTGAAAAAAAAAAAATGGCACGAGTTTAAAAATTTTACATGTCGTAGGTACCCTACTTTGAGCCGCCACAGCGCCGTCCCTGGGGCATCTGCAGGGTTCATCTTTTAAACTTAAACTCGAATACTTCTTGGCTACGCTCACGCCAAATTTTATCCCGATCGGATCAGCCGTTTAGAAATGCCAGATTTATTTCCAAAAAATTTCCATACTGCCCCACTGTGCGATGGTTTGTAAATTGTCTTTAAAAAATCGACAATAATTTATAAAACCGCTAGTTTTTTCCAAAATATGTTACAAATACGTTAATTTAAAATTTCCCGTTTTTCCGGAAAAGATTAAAAAAATTTCCCGGGAAATTCTTGGGATTTCCCGGACACCAATTTCAATTGATAGTCAACTGTTATGATAGTCCACTTTAATATTTGTAAAGCTTTCAAAGGGAGTCTACAATAATTACACAGGTCAACGAAATGAAGGTTTGTGAAAACCTTATCTCAGAACATGTCCGAATTAAAGCATCAGTGGATCACCTCGTCCAAAAATGCAAGAGAAGCAACTATAAAATCTTTAATGGGAGGATTTCCTAAAATAGTGGATGCATTTATAAATACCGTGTAATAAGCCAATATTAAAATGTTTAATGAATTTGTACAAGTTTTATTTTAACTTAATACAAATTTAAGTTTTTTCTAACACAGCAAAAAAAGAACTCCCAAAGAAGCGAAAAAGAAGTAGATTTTACGATATGGAAGTTCTGAAAAATACCTGTGAAGTGAGGCTTGACATAGGAGGGAAGTCCTTTTTATTTGATTCCAAATTCACTACTTCTGAAGTTATTCTCAAGAAGTAATTTTTATGTTCTTTTTTTGGAAGTAAAATTATAACATTATAGAATACAAATAATTCGACTTAAATAATATAGGGAAATAGACACATTTAATACAAAAACCCAAAAATAAAAATTTTTAACTAATAAAATGGAAGAACAAGAAAATATATCTTCGTCATTGAAAAAATATAATTATTTTCGCTTCTTCGGAAGTCATTAAACATCACTTCCACAGAAGGTAAAAAAATTCACTTAGTGCTACTTTTGAAGTGGTGATAAATGTTATTTTTTTGGAAGTACTTCTTTATATTTTTGCTGGGAGTCCTTACAAACATTACGACAGTTGCTTCAAAACATATCTAGAATTAAAAAAATAAATAAAATCCCTCCCAGGAAATTTCCGTGGAAAATATTTGCTTCGACAAAAAATATACTTTATGTAAATTAGAAGAAACCTTTTCTGTTTAGAGAACAATTTAAAAAAAGGATTTAAATTCCAATTATCGACTTTTTTGTCAAATTAAGGCTAGTTTTCTAAGTTAGTTAGTTACTTTTTTTAAATGTATAATTACCTGTTGATACGGGGAAAATAGACTCATTATTTATCTGGGATTCTATCCAATCCATTAGAAGCTCAATATATTTGGGAGCTGGTAGAGCGGTTGGTTTTTTATAACTGCAATTATTATAATAATGTTGGTTTTGATTAGTTGGTTAAATAAAAGTGATTTATTAATAATTTAAAAAGAAAATTTAAGACAAGGTGTCTATGAAAAATTTACAAGAGAGTGAAGAAATATTCATGATTGCTTTTCTACAATACCCCTTCTCAATCATGCAATCCTAAACAATTACAAAGTTTAAAAAATCTACAATTATCTAAAGTTTTTGTAAACATGTCAGCCAGTTGATTTGCAGTTCCAATAGGCTCCACTTTAATTACTCCTTTTTCAATATAGTCTCTGATAAAGTGATGCTTGATATCTATGTGTTTAGATCTCTTGCTCTCAACATTGGACGCCATACATATACATCCATTGTTATCTTCATAAATTGGTACAGCATAATTTTTAATTATTTTTAAATCCTGAAGTATACCGCGTAACCAAATGTCCTCTGATACAGCAGCACTTAATGCTACATATTCTGCTTCATTTGAAGATGTTGAAACCGTTTGTTGTTTTCTACTTGCCCAGGATACTGTGCAGCCATATACCTTAAACACATATGCACTAACAGATTTTCTGTCTACTTCATCACTGGCCCAGTCAGCATCTGCGTAGCCCACTAGAGGGTTTGAATCATTTGGACTATATATAAGTTTCTTCTTTACGGTACCTTTCAGATATCTTAAAATTCTTTTAAGTGCTTGCCAATGATCATCAGACAGATGTTGCAATTCTTTATAGGGTTTATCGAATTTATTTTGATTTTTGTTTAAATATAGTTTTAACCCTTTATCCATCGCCGTCTTCACTGAATTATAATCCATCATTGAGAATTTTTCCAAAACTTTATTGATACTTGCTTCTTGAAATATTATCACGTTTTCTCCATCGTTTTCAAATTTCATCCCCAAGAAATGCTTAAGTTTTCCACAATCAGACAATTGAAATCTTCTGCACAATTGATTTTTGAAACGTTCTATTAGATTTGAACTACTTCCGGCAATTAGCAAATCATCTACGTACATGATTATATACAAAACGTCGGAATTTTCGAGCTTTGTATATAAGCAGTAATCATGTTTTGATCTAGTGAATCCCATTGCAATAAGATGTTGATTTAATGTATCGTTCCAACATTTGGGAGCTTGCTTCAGTCCATATAAAGATTTTTGAAGACGACAAACCATGCCATTTTCTGTTACAACCCCTTCTGGCACTTCCATGTAGATTTCCTCTTTAAGCTTCCCATTTAAAAAAGCAGTATTCACATCAACTTGATATAGAGTTAGATTTTTCTTTACAGCTATAGCCAAGAGAACACGAACCATAGTCAGCTTAGCAACAGGAGCATATGTTTCATTATAATTAACTCCTTTCTTCTGAAGATACCCTTTGACAACAAGCCGGGCTTTATAGCGTTTCGGATTCCCATCTTGATCTGTTTTAATTTTAAAGACCCACTTTGATTTCAGTAAATTCGTGCTGCTAGGGCGTTTGACAATTTTCCACACTTCATTTGCTTCCATTGATTTCAATTATTCATTTATAGCTTTATACCATTCATTGGCATCACTACGACAAGAGATCTCAGAAAATTGTTCAGGGACAGACATGAAATAAACACCTTCTGTATAAATGGAATAACCGAAACTAAATCCAAGAAATTTGCTTGGTACTTTTCGCACTCTTTTACTTCTTCTAGGGGTTTCTTTTTCATTAGCATCTTCTTCTATCGAAATTACATCATTGTTATCATTATCGCCATAGTCCTCATCATTGTTAATACCTTCATCGGAAGTTATTAGTTCTTCAGGCCTACTTTCACTTTTACTCATTAGATCAACTGTACATTCCTCGTCATCAACAGGCACAATAGCATGTTGATTTGATGTAACAGGCATAACATCATCCTCATCCCCTTCTTGCATGTTACTTCTAATTACTAAATTAGGTTGCTCATCTTGTACTTCTGCATATGGAAAGTTGTTTTCATCAAAATTTTACATCTCTTAAAGTTATTATCTTCCTTGAATACATGTCCCATAACTTGTAACCATTTGGCACATATCCGATCATGACAAGCTTTTGACTCTTAGCGTCAAGTTTGTGACGTTTTTGTTTCGGCACCCAAGCATAAGCATTACATACAAAGATTTTAAGTGAACTGATGTTCGGCTTATACCCAAACCACAACTGAGCAGGTGTGACATAATATACATCCCAGACAAAGCTGCTTCATTCTACATATACTTAGGCATTTCTGATTGGAGTAACATTGTCCCCACCTTTTCCACTAGGGTTCTGTTGTATCGTTCGGCCACTCCATTTTGTTGAGGGGAATAGGCTATGGTTTCGGCCTTGATCAATAGTGAGTTTAGAAATTGACGTTCCAAATTTAGCAATTTGAAACAGTTGAACACATCAGACTTCTTCTTAATTGTGTATATTACTGAAAAGTGAGTAAAGTCATCAATGAATGACACAAAGTACCTTGAACCATCCCATGCTGCAGGTTCTATAGGTTCACAAACATCAGAATGAATTCTCTCAAGAGGGCGGGTAGCTTTTGTATGGGCTTTGATGAAAGGATCACGGCAATGTTTCCCTTCCACACAAATGTCACAGAAATCAAACATTTCTGGTTTGACATCAATTCCAGAAACCATATTCTTACTCACCAAATCTTGAAACGATGATTGACCAATGTTACCATAACGTTTGTGCCACAGTTGATTCTTCTCACTGGTTGTTAAGTAAGCTACACACTGCTGAATACTAAGTCTTACCTCATATAAGTTTCCTCGAAGGTAACCTGTAGCTATTATTTCATTTCCATTTGAAATTAATGCTTTGTCTTTGCAGAATCTTACTTCAATTCCAGCAGCAGTCATTTTCTTCACTGAGAGCAGATTATCTCTTAGCTCAGGAACGTATAAAACATTTTTCAATGTTATATCAACTCCTTTGTTGCTTTTTCCGTTGATTATACCAAATTTATTTGCATAAAGGTACTGATCATCTTTTGCAACTCTAATTTCGATTGGGTTTGGAAGCTTTTTGATCGAATCGAAGTACCATTTCTGGTTTACTAAATGGTCACCTGCCCCAGAATCAAGTTTGAATTTCAAAATAGAATTACTGTTATTTGACTCACTTGATCGAATTTTTAACACCTTTGGCGCTGCAAGCTTCACCCTGGCGGCATACATTGGCTTTATGTCCAATTTTATTACATTTGAAGCAACGACCTTGAATTTTTTTCTTGAAATTCTTCTTTCCTACAAATGCTGTTTTTGTTGAACAATCTTCTTCTTCAACACGATTTGTCATCTTGGCTTCTTCAAGAAGTAACCGTTCTTTAACCAGATTGTAATTTAATTTGGATTCTTCTATATTTTGCAATGCTGTGATTAGAGGATCGTATTTCTCTGGCAATGTCATAAATAGTTGCGTAAGGACATCACTTTCTTCGATGTTAGCACCAGCCATCTTCAGATTCCTTACCAAATTTTCAAATTTCACTAGATGTTCCATCATCATTGCCCCTCTTTCATTTGCAGTTTCATAATCTGTTTCCTTGCCAAGACTTGATTTACGATGGACTTCTTTGCGAATACATTCTGGAGACTTTCCCACATTTCTTTGACAGTTTGCTTTTCACGAATGTATCCCAAACAATCATTACTTACGAATGATACCAGCTTGTCTCTTGCTTTTCTATCATTATTCTTAAATTCCAACAAGGCAGCTGCGTCTGTTGGTGGTAGGCCCGTTTAAACTTCCAACAAATTCAAATTTTTGAAATGAATTTTTACGCGAAATTACCACTCATCGTAACCGCGACCGTTAAATTACGGTATACCAACACTTTCTTTTTGATCGCCCATAACTATTATAAATAATGTTGGTTTTGATTAGTTGGTTAAATAAAAGTGATTTATTAATAATTTAAAAAGAAAATTTAAGACAAGTTTGTCTATGAAAAATTTACAAGAGAGTAAAGAAATATTCATTTAATATTTCAAATACTAAAACATAAGTCTATGATTGCTTTTCTACAATAGTAATGAAATACAAAGTGACGATTTAATTAATTTTATAATTTTTATAGTTGAGCTGATTTTTGTGCCTGAAAGTAGTATGGCAATTCCACGAAAGGATAAAAAAACGCTTATAACTTTTGCATATTTGAAAACAATTTAAGAAAATGTGTTGTATGATCTTTTGGTACATCAAAGACAAAGGCTATTAATTTGTTTTTCTTTTCGGTCCATTATTAAAGTGGAAGTACACAACACGCGTTGAGGCGGCAATACGTTTTACGCTTTTATTATTTTAATGTTTTTTAAGACTATTACTATTTTAAAAATCAAAATTTTACGTTTTTGTTTTTATACCCTCCACCACCACCAGTGGTGATAGAGGGTATATATAAGTTTGTCATTCCGTTTGTAACACAAAGAAATATTCATCTGAGACCCAACAAAGTATATATATTCTTGGTCCTTATGAAATTCTGAGTCGATTTAGATATGTCCGTCTGTCCGTCTGTCTGTCTGTATAAAACACGCTCACGGTAAAAGGAAGCAATGGAACTTAATGAAATTCACCCAAAATATTTATTGTTATCCTAAGCAGTTTGGTATTGAAAATCAGTGAGATTGGTAGAATAGGTTCTGAGATATGAGTAAAAATTTGGGACAACCTCGAAAAAAATTGTGTTTTTTCACATATTTAATTGTACTTTTTACAAAAACTATTGCAGATAAATTGATGAATTTTGTCAGAAATACAACACTTGGTGCCAGGATCAACTATGTTAAAAATCGGTAAAATCGGTTCACAATTTCATATACCTCCCATACAAATGTACATATTCCAGGAAATTAATTTATTGTTAATAACTTCCGTTATAATGCCGATATCTTCACAAAATTTCACGAGTGAAAGTTTTATGCCAATAGAATTCATATAAAGAATTAATTTTCTGAATAGGTCCATAATTGGT